GCTGGAGCCCCCGCCTGGGGCAGGTCTCGGGGCCGCCCGGCTCTGCCCGCCCGCGGTGCCCCCCAGCTCCGAAACTCTTAGCACGGAGTAACCGCACGGAGACCGAGCCTGACGTGCAGTTGGCTTTAAAAGGGCTGCCCGGGTACATAGGCAGTGCTGCCGAAAGAAACGGGAATAAGTAACCGTTATAAAAATTTCTTAGGCATAAGCGTTGGGGGGAGTGGGGTCAGAACAGGCCGTGCTTCCCTTGCCGGATGGCTTGTTTGTTCCACTACAGATCCATCATCAGGATTCTCCTAATTCACTCAGTCCCACAGAATCATCACTCAGCAAAATGTACAGCCAGCTCATTTGCTTCTCTAGCAGCCTATCTCCCCCTGTCAGGTAACTCCCTGATTGGCATCATACTCAGTACACAGAGGAACACTTCCCTAAAATCCGGCTACTCCCACAGGCAGTAAAGAGTTGAAAATCTGCCACACACAACTTTTTTGGAAAGGAAAAATCTGACTGAACCTGCGGTAGTTACAGTATTAACACTCAGGAAAGCAAGATTAATTTACCACCTTTGCCCTAAATTCCCTGTGGGATTAACTCACTTTGTCTCTGTATGCGCCACTTCCTTACCTGTAAAATGGGATGGCCTGTCTCTGCTTTCCTTCTCTCATCCTCTGTCTGCCTTATGATTTTGACTGTAAGCTCCTGGAGCTAAGTGAGAAGATGGCTGGCTAATATTTTTTAAAAGGCTTGCCCCAGCAGGGAATTAATCAAGACGAAAACAGGTTTCTTGTATGAAGCATCTTGCCAGTCTCAGCACAAATCAAGAGACACAGGCACCAATTAATTAAAGAACAAATTAGTAAAAGTAAGATGAGCTGGTTTTGCTCATAGCCTGAGCAGTTCACCCTTGCAAACCACCCTCTAATTCTGTTAATTTACGAACTGCAAAGCTTGAGTCTAATTATTTCCCTCCATTTCCTCCACAAACTATAAATACACTGGGCATACCTGATTCAAGCTTTAGAGAGAAAGAACTTGAGCACAAAACACAGGGGTAATAACTCCTGCACCATCTGTTTCAACAGCTTTGGATGACTTACAGCTTTTCCACTTTTTAATTTCCCTACCTCTAAGAACAGAGATACTTCATAGCCACGATGGAGCTTGCTCTTCTACTCTTCCTCCCTCCTTTTCCTGCACAGTATAAACTCTGTCCCCAGAAAGGAGTCCTCCTTTCCTAGGCCATAAAGATGGTCCCATGCAAGCAGATCTGTTCTCGGTCTGAGTTTCCAATACACCACTTATTTTTCCTATGGCACCAAACAGTTCTACCTCCAATCTTCCTCCTTGTCTGTATGGCAACTAGACCAGTTTGGCAATGGAAACCCAAAGGTGATTCAAATATTTTCTATGTCCCCTGTCAGTATACAGAAATGCCTACGTACAAAGCTCCATATTAAATGGTAAAAAGAAAAACTGGGTACAGCTCTGTACACAGATTATGTTGAAACAGTGTCAAGTCAGATAATCGTTATTTAACAAGGGTACCCACGGTATTGCAAGCACCTAACAGAGGCCAATTTGGCATATTTACTGTAAACTAGACATCTGAAGACTCAAAAGCAGCTCACTTACTGCTATCTGCATAAGAAAAGGGATAGAAATCTCTTGATTTCACCTTTCCTTAAGGCAAGAAATCATCAGTTCCCAAGAGAATTCAGTCCTTAATATGAGTGGAATAATTTATAAAGCCAAGATCTGAGGTAGAAGGGAGAGTTTCTAAACGCTGCTTTTAAATAAAAAATAACAAACATCAACACACAGTGGGTATATTTCAGACAGATGCAGAAAAATGCATGAGGAAGGCAGAGGTCCCACACGACCCTTATAATAAAGGGTACTTTTACCCCAGCCTCCTTTCACCACCATCCATTAGTACACCTCATTGAAATGACAACTTTTCAAAGGCACTTTAGTGTAAAATTTAGCTCTTAAGTCCTTGCTGTTCTTCTTTCTCACGCCAATATCAACAGCTAATTAGAAACAGAGTAATTTGGGATACAGACATTATACAGCTCCAGAATCTTTCTTTTATTAAATCTTCCACGCTAGGAAACCCAGTTAGAGTTGCTAGCTTAAATGGCAAATCCTTGAGATAGCAACGTTGCACCGGCAGGCTAACCCCGGCTCGGATGACATGCTTATGTGAAGGAGTAAGACCCTGCATGGGAACTGGGGAAAAGCAAAAAGAGAAGGGCTGATGAGCTCTACTTTTGCCCATCCCTGGTGGAAAGTGAATGAAAGAGACAGGGACATGCTGGTACCCTTTAAGCTGTTACAATAAAGTAATACTTGCATAAACCAAGAAGACTAAACCTCAGAAGCACTGCGTCACTGGGCCATTACATCCACAAGGGTGACTCAAGGGGCAGGTGAATTATAGCTTTCACAAAACTTTTTGTTAATGACTGAGCCTAAAATCACAGCCTGGACCTAGTGACCTCTCTTCACCTCAGATTTCCATCTACTTTTTCTCTCCCCAACTGCATCCGTATATTCCCATCCTGTGGCCAATTCATATTGATTCCTTTACACAGGAAAGCAAGCACTGTGCATTCTCGCCAGCACAGTTCAATTTGTATTGATTCCGGTGGCATGCTACCATTTACATTGTAACAACTCTGTCTCTGCCCTTTGAGTGGAGGGCTGGTAACACTTCAACGCCTCCAGCCAAAACCCTGGCCCTGAAAGAAGAGAGGCAGCACTCTATGACAGATGAGCTCCAGGCAACGGATAGAGACTGTAAAAGGTTTGGGCATCAGCGGCAGATCTGTTAACTGTGTTATCCCCCTCACCCTTTCACCGAACAGCCTCATCCAAGGCCTCAGCTATCACCTGAAGGCACACACCTACTTGTTCAGCCCACACTTCCCACCTGCCACCTCACCCTGCGCTTGCAGTCACTACAGGCCCTGCACCACGCTCCTACCTCCCTTAGCCGAACCTACTCCCAGTTCCCTCGTTTGTTCCTGCTGCTGTGACCGGCGCTCCCGCTCCCAGCCCCCGCTACGCCACCTTGCGGGGCAGGCGGCCATTACCTGTGGGCGGGCTGGTCACGGCCCCACTCCTCTAAAAGGGTCGCGGGCGCCCGGGCCAATCAGGATGAGCTACGCGGCGGCATAGGTACGCGCGGGAGCACGCGGCGA